AGCTGCTTGCCCAGTAGTATGTGTTTGTCCACTGTCAGCTAACACACACAGAGAAATGGCTGAGCAGGAGGTCTGATTTTTAGAGACTGTATGTGTGCTAGACTTGGCCCCTCATGTAGATACAGGTGTGTGTGTTTGGTAGATGTTCTTAATTAAGGATATTGTACATTATCTTATAATTCTAGTTATGAGATTATCTTGTGGTCAGTGTCAGGGAGACTTTCCAAATCTCCTATTTCTTCTGCTAGAAATGATCACATACCGTGATCTGACAAAAAAGTAAGAATCAAAGAAAGCTGTTTTTATCAGTAACACGATCTCCCTCCTTCCTCTTTTTCTCATTTAAGCTGGTGTTACGTGAAGCCCTTCTAACTGGGCAGATGTTCTATGTGAAACCAATATCGTAGCATCTGTGTATGCACAGAGGATGGTTTAATAGCCACACGGAGCTATTAGGACCTCTGTATTAGACGAGTATGTAATGTTTTCTATCTCCATCCACATATTTGCTTGGACCTGCCAAGGAAATAAGCAGACACAGTAAGTCACAGTATTAGCAGCTTCTATGAGTAACGTTCTCTCATTAGAAGCTTCTATACAGTCTCTCCTAAAATCAGGAGTGAGCATAGGTCAGTTCTTGATCAGATGGCATTCTGTCTCTCCTGGGAGCAGGCTTTCTCAGTCCACAGGGACAGCATGTCTAGATACCCGCATAGACAGGCATTAATGGCACAAAACACCTTAATAACAGAGATACGATGACAGCCTAGTGGCAACATGAGTCTGGCATTGAGCAAACTTGGCATTTAATAATTTCCTATTGTAACATCACTACAAAGTAACATCGCAGGGCTAGGACCAGAGCCACGGGTAAGAATTCGAACCCTATGAGAATCAAAACAGGTTATTGAATTAGCTTTGCAGTGCACCACCCACGCACATGCAAAAGCTGTTTTTATTAGCAACTAAATATATATATTTTTATGGTGACAGGCATTATGACTACTTACTGCCCCCAAGTCATTCTGCATTAGAATGCATTTAGAATTGTTGTCAGAGTGGAATCTGGTAGCGGAGTGCATAAGGAGTGGACTTCGGTGGACGGACATGGGCTCGGGAGCCCGTCAGCTCTGTGTTCAAATTCCAAAAGCAGCTACTCACCAGCTGTGTTTGACTCCGGGGGCGCTGCTTAACCTTTGTCCTCCTGTGTGCAGTTGAGATAAAATATCCACCCTCTGCTGTCTGCGTTAAGCGAGATTTGTGCAAATCACCTAATACAGTTCCTGCCATATACTAGGTACTGAATAAATGGCAGATATTATAATCTAATGGTTAATATGTGGTTTTCCCCATGTTATGCTTCTTTTCTGTTTTGACATACATTACTAGGTACTAAGCCTGATTGTAGGTCATAATTCACAGATTTTCCTTTTTAAAGTAATTCCAATTTTTCTTCACGAAGTCACTCTTCTGATATTTTATTTTCCCCCATCTCTATTTTAAAATATTTAGGTGTTTTCTTTTTGTTGCAAGAAAATTGCATTCACTTGAAAAAGGAGATCCAATTTAGGCCCGATAATATAATAAATGTTAAAATGTTGGAAATTTGGGCTGAAAAATAGTTAAAAAATAAATATGCACAGAGAATATGTTCAGAACAAAGCATTATTTTGTATATACTGTATTTTTAAAGACTTTGTGGGCAATTTCTAAATCGTCAAGATGGTAATCTAGGAAAATTCAGATTTAATATGTTTTCTGTAAAGGTGTGATAGGTGCACATTTTGTTTTTTAGACTAGCAGCAATGTGTAGTAACATACTACCGTGAGCAGCCTCCTAAGAAATAAGTCATTCTTGGACACCTGGTTGGCTCTGTTGGTGAAGCATCTGCCTTCCACTCAGGTCATGATCTCAGGGTCCTGGGATCGTGTCTCGTGTGGGAGACTGATTCTCCCTCTGCCCACAGCTCCCCCCTGATCCTGCACTTTCTCTCTCTCTAAAAAATAAATAAATAAAACATTTTTTTTTTAAAACGAAGGAAGGATGGATGGAAGGAAGGAAGGGAAGAAAGGAAGGAAGGAAAGAAGGAAGGAAATAGAAGGAGGGAAGGAGGGAGGAAAGTAAGGAAGAAAGGAAGGAAGGAAAGAAGGAAGGAAATAAAGAGAAGGAGGGAAGGAAGGAAGGAAAGAAGGAAAGAGTAGGAGAGAGGAGGGAAGGAAAGGAAGGAAAGAAAAGTCAATCATATGATTTATGAAGGACCTAATGGGCATTACCGATGTTTTCTGCCCATTGTGGTGTCCATTGAAATTCCTGCTCAGAAAGTCATCATGGAATTGAAAATATATCATCTGCTCCCTTGGAGCAGAAAGAGTATCTGCACTCTGTTGGGTAGGGTAAACCACTGAACAGCATGGCCGCACAGGAGAGGAAAGAAACAGCATGCAGAGAAGAACGCGCTGCTTTCCACCCATGGGGCATTTTCTGTCGCATTTAATGCCCTCCAGGGAGTACGTGCTGTTACCATTCCCATTTCGAGGCTTTCATGTGGATTGTAGCTTGCCTCCTAAATCTCGTGTGTGTCCTAAGCCTGCTCTCTGCTTGTCCTACCCATGGGCTCGAGGCTGTGGTACCTTAGCCATTCTTGGACCACACAGTAGGCACCTCCTGCATGCCCCTGCATTTGGGGTAAGACAGAGAGTAAAACTATCTAATAAACCTGCCCCCAGAGGGTTTAGTGGGAGGGGGATAGAATCGCCAACCAAGTGTCCCCACAAATAAGTGTATAGATTACAGACTGTCATAGGTCCATGGGTCGAGAGGTGTATCAGGCCGTGAGAACAGATGGGTAGAGAACCTGGTCTAGTTAATTTTAATGAATTGAGGAGGGAAACCACCCCCCACCCCCGCTCCATAGGCTGGGGAGATGGGGGTGTATTCAGTGGAGAACAGAGGCAGCCAGATTGGCTGGAAGGTGGTGATGTGGGGGGGCACTGTCAGAATCCTGTGGGGGCTGAGGAGGTTGGAATAAAAGTTATAGCCTCAGACGTGAACTTAGTACAGCATGTGGGTTAAAGATACACACTCAATCACTTCTCTCCTTTCATAGCAATAACCAGTGAGAAACAGAAGTGGAAAGGTTGCTTTCGTAAGAGAAAGTGATGATGTAAAACACCTAAGATTTCTTAAAAAACAAACAAACAAAAAAAAAAACAAAACATAAAACCCCAAACCTAGTGAAAAAGATAAAGAAATTTTACTTATATTCCTAAAACTAGCTGCAAACAAGTGGAAGGTCACGGGATGTGATTGTATGGAAAATTAATGTAATAAAAACTCCTTCTTCCAAAATCAGTGTATAAATATAACACAACTCTACCAGAATCCCAGTGTGGATTCCCTTGGAAGTGAAAACATGAGTTTAAAATCTCTGTAGAATAGGAATCCTTAACAATATCATCAAGCTGTTTCTGAAAAATAATTTTAGTAAGGGGGCGCTTGCTTACCAAATACTCAATACTAATGGTTCCTGTGAAACAACTTTAATTTTATCTCTTTAATTTTTTTAAGTTTTTATTTAAGTCATCACTACACCTAACATGGGTCTCAAACTCACGACTCCGAGAGTAAGACTTGAAGGGTCTACCCACTGAGCCAGCCAGGTGCCCCACAGCTGTGATTGCAACACTGCAGTGTAGCAACAGTGAAAAACGTATCAGCAGAAAAAGTACTGGGTTCAGAAATGCATGTGAGGACATAATGTATTCTGAAACAATAAAAATTCAGCAGATACGTCTTTATTTTCAAGACTTTAAAAGCCTATTGTTAGAGACCTATGATATTTGGGTTATGATTTTTAGAATGTATTATTAACAGCATATTATTTCTGTGTAATATATTTCCAACTTATATTTATCATTATGTTAACTTTGACATTTTACTTTTCTAGGGAAAAGAGTACATTTTCATGTATAACTTAATGTTTTCATACAGCGGTACTATGACATTTTTAGTAGCTCAGAATGAAATGCGAATGTTAATTTACAAAGTCTGTCTTTGACCTCTGGGTAAGATGAGAAATAGAAGAGCATATTTCTAAAGGTTTAAGAAGTTCATAGATACGCCTACAGTGACAAATTGGATATTTCCAAACAGTATGTACACATTTCCATCAGAGCAATTAATATTTGTCAGATAATCTTGAAGAACCGAGAACTGTGGTATTGATGAATAACTGTGTGTTAGAAGTTGCCAGAAGGTTAGCCACATTAAAACAGGGTCTCTGAGGTGATAATTAAAACAGATCCATTGTTCTCAAGGTTAGAATAATAAATTCATACATAAACGGGTTACTCAATCCTCAGAAATCTACCTTTGGGTCCTTTAAAAACTCTCATTACTCACGTCATTACCATCCTCATCATTATCCAGTTAACTCCTTAATTCCCCAAAGAGCTCAGGGCTATGAGGATATAAAATTTTGTTTCACTTGCATAAATGAAACTTTAAGATCAAAAATTCTAACTTCTGGATCGTAACTGTAGGATTTGAGGGATTAACGGCAAGAATAAGGTGGTTCCTCGGGACGAAGAAATTTGAGACATCAACAAAGCCTAACCCCGGGGATGGATACATCAGAGGGTCTACATGATTCACTGTGTCTCCTGAAAGGAATCGCAGTGAACACTTTTCTCTGATTTTAAAAATTCTTTTACTTCAATGTCTCTCTCTTTCTTTTTTTTTTTACCCCGAAAAGCATATATCTTTATTTAAAAATTTATGTAATTTTTTTGTTAAAAAATTTTTTTAACATTTTTAAAATTTATTTTCAGCATAACAATATTCATTGTTTTTGTACCACACCCAGTGCTCCATGCAATCCGTGCCCTCTCTAATACCCACCACCTGGTTTGCCCAATCTCCCACCCCCCCACCTCTTCAAACCCTTCAGATTGTTTTTCAGAGTCCATAGTCTCTCATTGTCTCTCTCTTTCTTATGCAGGGAGGATGTGAGGACAGCAAACGTAATCGCCGCAGAGGCTGTGACCTGCCTTGTCATCGACAGAGAGTGAGTACTCTGCCTTACTCTGCGTAACACATGCTCAGATCCATGACAGACAGAAGGTCTTGGAACTAGACATTATTTTTTTGAGTTATAAATCCTTGTTTGATATTCTTTCATTTTTAAAGTGAGTTGTCTACTTGATTCTCATTCCCTGTTATTCTTAGAAGTGGTTGGCTCTGCCGTTCCAGCCTTGGGAGTTTCCACAGGTTCTTAACCAGCGTAAGCCCCACCACAGTTAGCTCCTTGACGTGCACAGGCCATCATGTGATGGCACAGAAACGTCATCAGGGTTCATGAGACACAAGGAAAGCATGGGTCCCAGTGGCTTTTTGGTTTTATTTATTTATTTATTTTTTTGGTTTTGGTTTTTTTTTTTGTTTGTTTTGTTTGGTTTTACAAGGGAGGATCTTAGGAATGAATACTAGCTATTGGGTAAATTTTTAGAGTAATAATTATCACTACTGCTAATATTACTAGTAGTAGTATTATTACGAAATGGATCATTCCTTCAGCATGTTTTAGTTCTCTCCATTCTCCCATCCCCAGACTCTTATAAGGGACACATTTAAGGAAGATACTTTTTGGAGAAAACATCATTTTAGACATAGGTGTGTATTTAGGGTCATGACAGGTGTGTTCGATGATGCCCAGCCCTGTTCCTTCTCTCCGTCTGGCTTTGCTAGTCTCATCGCCTGAATGCTTTATCGGTTCAACTACAAATATCTGATTGCTGATGTGCCCAGGGCCTGAGTAAAATGTGTGGGTGCAATCTGGAAGCTGTCCCCCAGACTCTTCGCCATCGCTGTGTGTGTGGAGGAATGTATCAGAAAACCAAGTGGCTTACCCATGGGGAAGAATGGCAAAGCACCCTTTCATGCAGTCAGGAGAGCTGGGATAGGCTGTGGGTGTCAGGATGGCCCGACCCAGGGAACCGAATGCGAGCAGTCCAGAATGATGGGTGTGCATGTGGAGCTCAGCAAGCTCTAGGTGGAGAAGGGTCCTGCCTGATCCACTGATCTCAATTCTGGAGGCCCCTCGGCTCATGGTCTCTAGACCCAGATCAATGGCACGACCATAGGATGGTGTGTCTTTGAATGTCTCTGACACACATATTCTTTATCTGGTTTCCACAAACAGCCATTACCTAGTGGTTTCCTTCATTTGCCTAACATCATACCGAGAATCTACCACCTCCAAGTGTCTGGGTTCAGTGCCATGGGAAGAATCAGAGAAGCAGCACAGATCCTGGTTTGAGGGGTTCGCTTCTATGAGAGAAGATGTGACCCATGCACAAGGCAGAAAGTGGAGGGATCCAGAAAGCACACTTAGGGGAGTCCAGCGAAGGGAGTGACGACTACTAAGGGGAATCAGGAAGGTCTTTGTGAAAGACAGGGCATGATGGCACGTTGGGGTGCATCTGGAAGCACTGGCAGTAGAAATAGTATGAAGAGCACAACAGTTCTTGTAAGGGAACACTGAACCATTTCAGCTGGCTGGAGGGAGGCTGTGTCAGGGCGGTTGGCAAAGGTGTTGGGGCAAATGAGTTCACAGGCATGTTGGGACTGGTTCACCAAGAGCCCTCAATGTTGGGACTAGGGTAATTGAGAGTTTTATGTAATACAACAGCGTCACTTGATCGCTGTATTGGTAGACTAATCCGAGAATGCTGCATAAGGTGAGTATGAGGCAGAATATCTGCTCAGCATCTGTATATCCAGGTGGTGGTCATGAAGCCATTATAGGAGGACTGCATTGGAATGAGAGGCGAAACCAGAGGGCTTACTCCTTGACTGAATGCAAAGGGCATAGAAGGAATGTGGTATGTACTCAGGATCAAGAAGATCCAGTAGGAGTACAGAGGAATCCATTTGGGAGGCACAGTGGTTTTCCATTACAAATACAATGAATGTGACATACAAGACGGACACCCAGGAACAAATGCCTGCCAGGAGATGGAAAAAGTAAGACAAGAGTTCTTGTTACAGTCTTAAAATTCATCTAAAAATTGCTCATGTAGAGTTAATAGCTGAAGCCATGAGGTGGCATAGGATTGCATGATAGAAGAGAGAAGAGAAAAGGACCAAGTTTAGAATTTTGGAAAATTCTTACATTTAAGAATGAGGCATGAGGGGGAAAACCAGGAAATAACACTGAAGCATCAGCTATGAGAACCACACTGGAAACCTCAGAAGCCGAGAGAAGATTCATGAGAGGAAGGACAGTCAGCAGTGTTCAGTGCATATGGAAGCCAAGAGGTATACAGATAGAGGGAAAAGTTTCAGTCAAGTGGTGAGAATGGTGTCCAGCCTGCAGGGAGTGAGTGGCCCTTGAGGAGGTAAGATCACCCAGACTAAGGGCTCTTTCTTTCAGGAAGCTGGTAGAAGCTAGGGAGGGTAGGAGGGAGGAAGGAAAGGAGGGACAGAGGAGGGATGGAGGGAGGGGGAGCATGAGGCATTGGTGGGCTCTTGGAGAATGTCCTTGTGATGAGTTCACACACACATCCAAGAAGATGAAGGAAACAAAATACTAAAAGAAATACTTGATGGAAACAGGGCCACAGGGGAGGAGATTGTGGACAAACAAGGGAAGAATTCTTGGAGAACATATGTGTCTTTTTTTTTTTTTTCTATTTCTAAAAGGAGAGGTAGAAGACTTATAGAGATGTAGTTAAGGAAAGTTACAGGAACTCAGATGGTCTTGACCTTGCTTCTAAAGTGTAAAGCAAGAGGGACACATGGCTGGCTCAGTCAGTAGAGTGTGCAGCTCTTGATCTCGGGGCCATGAGTTCGAGTCCCACATTGGGTGAAAAGATTACTTAGAAGTAAAATCTTTAAAAAAAAATAATCATAAAATCTAAAGTGAGAAAATCTGGCTAGATTTTCTGAGGCTATGGGTGTGCCAGGTGACTTGGGTGGACAGGTAATCATATCAGTTTATATACCTATAGTCCTTTAGTAATTTATGAATTTCCACATGCATGGAATCCCAGCTGGAAGGTAGACAGGATGTTCAATAGAATAGGAAATGGAAGCCCCTAGAAGCTGAATAACTTAGTAAGATTTCCTGGTTAAACAATAAGCCCAGATTCATCAGAGAAACAAACTAGATGGGATTTTGTGGGCTGTCTGGTCCTGCTTCTTCAACTGAGTTAAGTGAGGTCCTGAGGAATAAAGGAATGCCACGTCATATCATATACACACTTTTGCCCTCATTCGATTTTCTCTTTTTTTCAAACCTAGTCCTATGTAGTGTGCTCTGGGTAATGAATGGGCTTTGTCAAATAAAACCCAGTAATTAAATACTGACTAGACCACGTTTTGAGATTATGGGCAGTTACATAAATCCTACATCTCAGTTTGCCCATCTGCAGAATGGGATAATATTGCCTAGAGTTAAGATTATTTTCAGTTTATCATCCTTGAAGGTCCAAGCACATCACAGGCTGTACAGTAAGCATTCAGCAGATGTGGTGTCCTCTTCTTGCAGAAGGCAGAGGAGCCCCTCTCATTTAGCAGTTTGCTATCTAATTGGCAGAAATTTATTCTTAGGCATATATACAGAGGGTACCCCTTGAGACAGGAGACGTATAGAGAAGATGGCCTGATCCAGAACATGCATTTCTGTATCTTAGAAGAGAAGCAGGTCTTCCCACCAAATGTTGAATTCTCAGCTTAAAAAAACAAAACAAAACAAAACCCTACCACCACCACCAACAACAACAACAAAAAACACCATAACTAAAGTCTCCTGTCAAGAGCCATCTCCTGGAACCTAACTGATGGCCAATTAGGGGAGCACCAGGGCTTCATCCCATGCAAACAGATGGCAGACGTTAGAGCTGTCAACACAAGGAGCTGCTTTCTCAGATTTACAAGCGAGGTACCATGTTACATAAGCCAGTAATTATGCTTTATCGTTCCAGAGGGAGAGCCAAAGAACATTATTGTAACTAATCAGGCATGTCAGAATTTCTTTTAGAAAATGCTCATTGACAAACTAGGAAATGATAAACAGATACATGGTTTTCCCAAAAAATGTTCTCTGGTGATTAGATTCTTGCAGCCTTGTCATGGTCTTAGTAACTAACTGCAGTGATTCTAGATTTTGCAGAAACTGACTAAAAAAGAAGGGTATTGGTCTATTTCAATTAATAAGATTTTTGAATATTTAACATAAAAATTAGGGGTCTTTAGCACTTCTCACTTTGGAATCCATGAAAACAAATAAATGTAAAAGTAAGTATACCACTACATTCTGTAATAGGTCATGCAATGCCTACTTCTTCATGGACATGAGTTGTGGATAAAGCTAGAGATTCAAGGAAGATCATTTATTTTTTGACATGTTGAGATAGTTGTTAAAAACAGTAATATAACTACTAGGAAGTGTTATAAGAGTTTTATATTTTTCCCCAGGAAATGAAAATCTAAGTTAGAGTCCTAACTATCCCTGCTTTACTGTGTAACTTTCCAGATGTAGCCATACTGGTTGTGAAAATTACACTATTTTCTTGCTGGTTGGTAAATAGCAGTGGTCTGAGGTCCATGTGGGTCCCTTGTACTCCCCTACTGCCCTGGTCATCTGATCCCCACCCTGCCCTGTCCCCCCCCCCCCCCCCCAACTCTCCCAATCTCTCCATGCTGCAACAATGAAAAGGTGACTTCCAGTAGACCCCAGTACTAGTATCCATTCTGATTGGCCAGTTCCTGTGTCGTATGGTTAATTGTTTTTGACTAGCACCCGTGGTAATCTCAGGCTAAAATAACATCTCATCACCACTGGTTTTCAAACTTGTTTTACCAAATCCATTGTTTAAATAAAATACAAAGAAAGCAGGAACTTTTCTGGCTCCATGGGGGCAAAATCCCTAGAGTACCCAAAGGTCTTCCCTCTGTCCCTCTAAATCATTCCAGGTGATGCCTAAGGCCCTCCTGGGACTCCAGGAGTCACTAAAATAATTTACAAACCACATGTGGCTAACCTTTACATCACTGAATTTGGGA